AAACTGTTTTCAATTTGATAAATTTTCTGGAACATTTACAATCGTTCTATAATCGAACCAATATGCAATAACAAATTCGAATTTAAAACGGTTCGAACATTTTAAAAATCGAAATAGATAAAAATATTTATAACAATGTCTGAAATGTTATCAATTTAATACACCTACGTACTCGATGAAGACTAAATCCTCTCCCTCTCCCACCCGCGGGGGAATTTTGAAAAATCCCCTCTTAGTGTGCATTACCATGGCATATCCTACTAAAACGCAGATAAAAACAAAAAAATCGCATCTAAAATAGTACAGTAGAAGCCGTTGTTCCGGTTAAGCCTTAATCCTCTCCCTCTCCCCACGCGGAGGAATTTCGAAAAATCCCTTCCTAGTGTGCGTTTCCATGACGTACCCTAACTGTCTACCAAATTTCACCTTTAGGTTAAGCGGTCTGCTCTGAGCGATGATGAATCAGTGAGTGAGTGAGTGAGTCATTCAGTCAGTCAGGACAAGCAATTTTATATACAGTGGAATTTCGGTATACGACCTTAATCCATTCCTGATGTTTGGACTTATACCGAATAGGACGTATACCGAACCAACCTTTCCCATAAGAAGTAATGTAAAAATGATTAATCCGTTCTCATGAAAAAAATGGCTGGCTTTAAACACCTCGCTTTCCTGCTTGATTTTTCATGAGATCAGCATGTATCTTTTTAGCTTTCTCGCAAATTATTGCTTCTGATACGCTGTCTCTAGCACACTGTTTTTCAGTTATCCAAAGCAAAAGCAATTTCTTATTAACATGATCTAATGACTTCGACCTCTGTTTAGAAATTGATTTAATTCATTTCGCAACGTTAGCAGATTTAATAATGTCTTTATTTTTCGCGATTGTCGATATCGTCGATCTCGGAATACGGTATGCAACATTTAAAATCTCGAACACGCGTGCCACCTTCATATTTCTCAACAGTCTTCTTTTTTCAGTTCCATTGTGATTCTAGTCATTTTTTTACTTTTCTGTTGCTTTTCATTTGCCTTTTTGCAATTCATGGTTAATAAAAATAATAAAATTTTACTTACAAATTAAAATCAGAAGAAATTTAACAAAGTTATAAATTGTGGCACCGAGAACGTCTAGTCTGGCCTAGTACACCGATAGTGCTACTTGTTCATAGATGGCGAATATAATTGAATTAAGTCGTATACCGAGCAAAATTTGTTTCGTCCAAACAGGACGTACAGTATTCCGAATTGGACGTATTCTAAAGCAGACGTATACCGAGGTACCACTGTATTTAGATTATTAATAAGAGATAGGACTATAGATTGTTTGCACGAAAGAGTGTGATGATACATAGAGGAAAACTAACTTTAAAAAAGCAGAGGTGTTCAGGACAAACAGCTTACAGTTTTAAGTACAAGTACTGCTTTAATTATTCATTACTAGCAGACCCCGCCACGCGTTGTTGTGGCTCAAAATGTATCTATTATAAATTTATAACACTTCCCCCTGGGGGGAAATTTTTCGAAAAATTTCTTCTTAGTGTACATTCTGTTGACGTACCCTATTAAAACGCAATCAAAAACGCGAAAACCCGCATCTAAAATAGTATAAATAGAAGCAGAGTTCTTTACCGTAAGCCTTAATTAATCCTAATCATCTCCCTTCAGTGGGGGGAATTTCGACACGTATATTATATAAAAACACGTGTGTATTCGAATGCAGCGTTGTGTCAAAATTTCAAAGAAATCGGTAGGAACAAACGAACATTACATTTTTATTTATATAGATAGATAGATGATCCGCTTTAGTTCATTTTCACGGAAAAGCATAATGCCTCACAGAAAAGCAAACTTAGGTCGTCGTACTCGTAGCGCCATCTGTTGGACATAAAAACCTTAACCCTAGATTATATCTTTTAATTTATATGAATGTTTAACGGAATAATATACAGCCTATGTCCACCCTGAAGTTCCATTCTAAATATTGGTGAAATAATTTTTGAAATCGGATGAGTAGTTTCGGAGATTACCCGCTATATCCAAACTTACATACTTACAAACATTACCTCTTTATAATATTAGTATAGATAAAGTTGATTTAAAATTAACGAATAACTAGTGACATCTGGATTTATATCTATAAGTTATTCGCANCAATTCAACCTTACATTAAAATTTTACAGATTTTCGGAATATTCTTAAATTCAAGAAAGGATCTCTTGTGGATTAAAATCTTATTATTTCATACTTACTTCTTTTTAACGTTTTTAATCTTATTCGTCCTGCCGGAAGATATATCAATTTACTTCATCAAATTTGATAATTTTTCCGAATTTTGTGGCGTTCCTCAATTTTGGAACATGTTTGGAAGAAATATATGCTATAACACAAGTTTTATATTACTTTTATCTCCAATATTTTCGATTCTGTACAATGTAAACGCCTCTTTCATCAAATCAATTATAATGAAAGTCAGTCGAGATATACAATGCTCACGTCGAATGATCTCTGGTTTATTAAGATATCAGGATTATATAATGTCATATTTTACTTTCGTGACTGTATTGGCTTCTGTTGGCCTACCTAGTCTGTATATATTTGGTAGAAATTATTATGGTTATAATACACACATTCCTAGAGAAAGTTTCTGCGTATTTCATTTTGTTATGGGTTCACTCATTGTCAGTAATGTAATCGGTCACGGCTGCGGTTTTCTATTTATACTCACTTACCTATGTGTTCGTTTATTGGAAACGTATTTTGAAGATATAACAACAAAAATAAAAAGACGTGTTTCGATAGAAAGCGCAACTGTACTCAATGAAATTGCGCGCGTTTTCTTATTTATAAAAGAAGTGGATAAAATTTTTCAAAATTTACACATGATATTTATAATTGGTATATTACCGGTGGCAAGTATAATCTTCCTGTTTGTGTTAGTTACTCATTCCTTAACTTTCCAGCTGTTTATGATAATTTTTATTACTTCATGGTTGGGAATTGTAATACTGATTTACGTTCTCTATCTTACAAGAATTCCTTCAAAGGTATGTTGCATTTTGCGTATCAATTTCTTAAATGTTTAAATTTATTTAATAACTAACAGATGGATCCGACGTTGGTCGGGGAAAAAATAAAGACGGCAAATGTTAAGATTTTTAGATTATTTCGAACTTCTAACCTCTTTATTATATTATATTATAATATTTGATTTATATAACTACAAAGGTTATCTTAATATCACAGTTTAAAAATTCTTTAAATTGTGTATAGTAGTGGAATAAAGAATTTTTAAAATTTGTTAGATTGGTCACTCGGTGTGTAAAATAACCTTTGTAATTATATAAATCAAATATCATAATCAAAACGAAAACTATATAAAGAGTTTGGTTATTTTGCTTACTATTGTCATGTTTATCGCGATACCGATGGTACGAAAAGGTACAGTTTCATTGGTCAAGTAGAGGTCAATTGAAAATATGATATCTTAAATTTTTTAAGGTATATATATTTTTTCTAATGTTAGCTGTAACGAACTGTTTTATTCACAGCCGAATATTAAATGGTCATCAGTCATCGAGTCAATTTTCACGAAAAATCGACCAAATATTTAAACTCTGCACCCGGGAAAACCACTTAAAACATATTTTGTGCTCGTTGGTAATCTTGTATTATGAACTTTTCCTATTCGAGTGTCCACCATAATGCTGATCCGATAGAAAGAAGAGGCTGTTGCAGAAGGAGATTGAAATAATTCGATCAAAGGTAGTCGTTGACCTCCTCCCAGAAGAGATGTTCAACAACTACTAATTAACAGCGGTGTACTATTAATATTTGAAAAGTAGTCCGTGTTAGACAGGTTGTGATGGCCCCGCATGTGATCGAAGTTGCTAACCTTAACGTCCGAAAGACGATATGAAACTTGTTTAAATAAAAAAATATTGTAAAAATGCTAGAATAACTCCTTTGACTTAAAGTGTTTAAATTTTCGCAACAGATTGTATAAACTATGTGGGAAGTATGTTCTCGTGAATATTGCGTTTATAGAAAAATTATTGTGCTGCAATTTGAAAAAATTGTAGTTCTACAAATTTCGATTGTCGTTCTCTGTGTCTGCCTCCTTGAGATTATGGAAGGAGTTAGATAGATGAAAGTCGCGACCAGATGTGGAAGCCCACATCTGGTCTCGACTTCGATTAGTTACTTCATATATTTACGAAGTATATACGAAGTAACTAATCGAAGTAACATGACTTCCGTTCCAAACTGGAAGTCACATTACTTCGATTCGAAAATTCTCTTCTGAACGGAGCTAGATAGATAACCAACACGACTCTATTGCTAACAGAAAAAATATGACGTACAGAGACAAGACACCACTAAAAGAATCGAGAACATTGTGACGAAAAGTTACAGTCCGACATTGTGACGATGCCACAATAAATAATCGCTCGTTAGAATTAGTTTAGTGTACTTAGTCACAACAATGCGACATGTGAGTGATCTGACAAGGAGAATGCATCCCAGGGAAACTTTTATGGAAAGTTGGACCCTATTTAGGTGAAGAAAACCCAGAAAACTCTACTTGATCAGCCGTTTGACATGCCCCAACCCACGACTAACTAACTACCAGAGTTTGGTAGTTTTATGCACTCTGCTACTGGAGGACGCTTATTAGAGTTAAGAAAGGACCGTTCAGAATTAAAAAAACCCGAAATTAAATTTACAATCAATACTTTAATTTCGACCAAAATACTNAAGTTGTAATTTATTAACTTCTGATAGTATTGAAAAACTACAACATCGATCACATTTTTCGTTCGAAAACTATATTTATTTCATCCTCTCATACTTTTATAGTTAACTATAAAAATATGAGAGTATTAATTAATATTATTATTACTATTTATTAAAAGTATTATTAATATTAATAATTTTTTTAACTACGAAATAGTTTATACCTATAAAATTTGATTTTCGGCGTTTCTATAGAAATATTGTTAACTATAAATATAGAAATCAATTTAAATTTTAATAGGAATTAGCAGATTTACAAAAGTCTGGAATGAAAACATTTACTAATATAGAGCCCGAAGATGATAATATTCTTGTTTGGCAAGGATTAGTTGTACCTGTAAGTTGTTTTTTTTTTATAGTTTTTTTTTTTGATTTCGGAATCATGATATTCGATATTTCTTAAATGTAATTGCCTAGATAATGAAATGGAATATTGTTTTGATTCCATAAGGACAAACTAAAGTTTGATTCTTAAAGAGGCGAACATTTAATTTATATTTTAAAGTATAATTATTACAGAATTATTTCAGAATTATTATTATAATTATTTTTGTTTTCAGGATGAACCTCCATATAATAAAGGAGCATTTCGCATTGAAATATCTTTTCCTGCAGAATACCCTTTCAAACCTCCGAAAATTACTTTTCTAACACAGATATATCATCCAAATATTGACGAAAATGGACAAGTTTGCCTACCTATTATTAGCCCCGAACATTGGAAACCTGCAACTAGAACTGATCAAGGTAGCTTTATTTAAACGTAGTTTTTGGAATGTATTATTTCTTATTAAAGATTTCAATTAAAACTAGAAGATACATGAAAAATCAAATTCTCGTATTTTTTTTTTTTTTTTTTCAATTTTCTAGTGATTTATTCTTTATTGCAACTTATCAACGAGCCTGAACCGGAACATCCGTTAAGAGCCGATCTGGCCGAAGAATATAATCAAAACAAAGATATATTTCTAGAACATGCTGAAGAATTTACTGAAAAATTTTCAGAACCAAGGCCAGTTGATTAATTTCAAATCAGGCATTACAGCTCAATTGTATTCTACACAAAATATTTTATTATGCACATTGCATAAATATCTAATTGTTGTTGCAAAATTATTTATATTTGTTAATATTTTTATACTCTATTTCATATAATGTTTGTGTCATGCTTTTTGACTTGGCAAAATTCTGTGTAAATATATATGGAATAAGCTTAACATTTCATGAAAATGTTATATATACACACGCATATCAGACATGAAAATTTATTTAAAAAATTATTTGTTACATAGTTAAATATTTTGTTTATTTATTACAATAAATAAATAAAAGCAGATATGCCAGATTTCAGAGTTTATTTTATTCTAGTTTATAAAATCGAATACAGTATTTGAAGAACTTGCTAATGATAAGATACATTTCATATGAAACAATTTACGTTATATGTTAGAACTGTCTCCTGTAATTAATCTACAATTGAAATGGCTTTTTTAATTATGGAAAACATTTTCGTGTGCCAATTCGGAAAATAGATATCATAATTTACTTTATTTAAAAAAAGCGATAATATTAAAAGTTTTTCATAAAATATTTCAAGACATTAAAACGAAATATTGTAAAATTACTCAAGCTTATTATTTACTAATCATTTTAAGGAGATAAGTTGTTTCTGCTTTTTCTGTATTTGCTACTTAAAACACAGTTGCATATTGAAAATTTAATTGATTCAGTTATTCTTCATAATAGTGAAAATATTACTTTTAACGATCGGTATCAGCATAGTAGAAGTAGATATCGCTTTAAGGATGTATATAACAGTGGCGTGCCGTGACATTTGATGATAGGGAAGCTGTAAGAAGCCGACATCCAGGGGCAATCAGTCAATTGCGCGTCAGCGATAGTCTAGGGTCCATTCGTATCGTTTATTCGATAAGCCAGTAAAAACCGTAGACTTCTCTAAATGCATTTTTAATATTACAATTACGTTCCGAATCGCTAGCCACGATATAAGGGCTACAATTAAAAATAAAATAATAAAAACTTACTCGGTGAAATAAAATGTGTGGTGGATGTACTGGTACTGTGCATACCTGGTACAAAATATTCTTCAATTGTATGAATATACTTTTAAAGAAAATTATAATTAAATACAGTAGACGCCCTATAACGCGGAGATACGTTCCTCGTTATACGAATTTCGCGTTGTAGGAATCCTTAAATACGTGAGCCAATCACAGTCCGACACGTGTGCAGTTTACGGACTACGGCTATTTGAAAGGTTTTCTTCCATAAAATTAATCGATTCTAGACTAATTCGACTTAACATTTCCAAAACACGTATGATTTTTTTGGGAATAATCCGTATAAACTATGCTATAAACAAAAAATTGTAGGATTACTTACCGAGTGTGCACCGTTCGACGTCGCCATNGGGCAAGTTTGCCTACCTATTATTAGCCCCGAACATTGGAAACCTGCAACTAGAACTGATCAAGGTAGCTTTATTTAAACGTAGTTTTTGGAATGTATTATTTCTTATTAAAATGATAGATATGTCTGGTGATATTGACCAAGTGCCTAAATGTACAAAATAAATTCCAAGTTAACTTGATTTCAATCAACTTGATTTAAGTTGTAGTCATTGCATTTCTGATTCAACAAAATTTCGATATAATTACCAATAACTCAATTACATTTTCTAAATTAGTTTAAATGATTGATAGATATCATATGCAAAATACAAATATTGCTTATAAATAAATAGACGATCATTTGTTTATTTTTATTTTGAATACATTAAGTAAAATTGACGATGCCTCATTATAATAACTCCTGTGAAAAACAATACAAAAGAAATCGCATTAAAACACAAATAAGCAAACAACAAAAAAATAAATAAAAAAGTAGACAATATAAAAACATATTATACAAAAATTAATCATAGTGCAAAAAATATAGTCTACTGTATATATATACGCTTATATAAATACTGTATACCGGTATATAAAACGATAATAAAATTCAATGCAAAATAGGCACCTATGAAAGATGCTTTATTATAAAAGATTTTTGCACAATTTCTTAAAATTGTTAAATTATAAAATAAACTCTCTTTAATTTATAAAATCCTAAAAACAAAACAATAGAAAAAAAATTTTCGTCAGACACAATCCGTAAATAGGAGGACAAACAGGACATGTTCCGAGTAATGCGAATAGGGACGCATAAATAATTCATCAAAGAAATAACGCTTATCAAGAAGGCCTAACGAGAGGATACACAGAGATTTAGGTTTCCACTTGAAGGAATCCGTTTTTCCGGAGTTGGGTCAGTTAGCGTGAGTCACTATGACAATTGAGTCAGGTGTGCCAACCGAGGCAGACCCAAAGAAAAGCTACTGAGCCAACTTTGGATTGGACGGTCGAGGAATCTAGAAGTTGGATAAAAAGGAACTTCACTGATCGAAATAGGGAATAAAGGAAAAGGAAAAAGACTATGTTGAATCTTATCCATCCAGAATTATTGTTGTATATAAGTGAGGTTCCAAAAACGGGTTGAAATTAAACATTTATTATTAGAAATTTATTAAAACGAAACTAGAAAAAAAATCGTCTATTGTTAAAAACCGATCAAAGATCGAATTAGTTCTTCTAGTCAAATGAAACCGCGACGAGAGAAAAAAAACGCTATCGATGTAAACAGAACGCAATAATTATAAATGATTAATAATTGTTAACAAACGACCTTTGACAAGTCGCTCATATACAAATAATTAGAACAGAAATTTTGAAAAGGGGAAAGGTTAATGACGAAAAGGGACATTGCCTCGAATCGTTAAATTTCAAAAACGTCACAGACTAAACAACAATGGTGGAAAATATGAGCCAAAATTTCAAAGTTCCATCAACATTTTGCATTCAGTGTAACGGATGGTGTCGAGTAGATTCTTCGAAGCGGATCTTTCTGGTAACTCGAACAGGAATCGTCTTTCGCTTAGAGACAGACGAGAGACCAATCGGAGAACGAGAAAAAAGGGACGTGGAGCCAATCAGAAGAAAACAAAACAAAGAACGGAGATTGATATAATCCCCGATATTCAAGGACAGACTGACTTTCCGAAAACTGTACTCTTGCACACGGTTAGTCAACGCGAAAAAGCAGTTTTCCGTCTGTTGTGCCCAACTTGTAACCTGTGACTATGGACTCAGACCGCCGACACCGACTGACGAATCTCCACACCTGCCGTTGCCCGGGGCCTTCTTTCGAGCAACATTAGAAACATCATCGACAATTCGAACCTCCAATTGTATAAAGAACATTTTTGTTCCATAGTGTAAGTTTAATTTTACGTTTAAAATAAACGGGTTTTGTGAGGTTCTTGTCATCTGTGTCTCCTCCGCCACACCCACACGCGAACGACCCTAGATCATCCTGACGCGGGATTAACGATTCCCCCTAGAAGTCGGCGAACTTACATATATTGTTGTAAATAATTGTAGAATAAATGGACCTGACTGAGATAAAACTGTCGTAAGGTGATTTTTCTGACGAACTCCAAATCCGGGAATCGGGACGGCACAATTCAAAATTTACTACTCCATTAAAATATTTGCGTGAATAATAGTATAAAAACTTGCCAACATGCTGCAGCTAACGAAAAAGTTTTCTTTGCGTTGCAGAGACGTTCTAAATATAAAAGTGACCACAGTTGTTGCATATCATTCTTCTTGGCTATGTTGTCTACATTTAAGCTTTTCTGGTAAAGCTATTCTATGAAAATAACTGTAATGTTGTGGCTGCATTTCGAGAATTTCGCTCTCATAAGAACTTACACCGAAGAACAACACAAGTTCTCAATTTTTTTTCAACTTTTTTCAACATTGCAAATTATCAACTGCATTTGAAAACTTTCCCTAAGTTGTCAATTGTCTTGAGTAAATAAGCAAATAAAAGTTTCATTATTTTATAAATACACTGAACGATCACTGCATTAGGAACATCATGCCAGTACCATTAAATGTAGAGGGATGTTTTGTAATTGTTAGGTCACAATTGCACTTGCATAGTAGACGACAATACTTGTTAGTCATGGTCAAACGGGCTATTTGAGTGACGACAGATTGTTAGGGCCCCGAGATGGGTGCCAATATTTTCGAAACAGCTGCATTCGTAGGTTGTTCTTGTAATATGATGTCCAGGGTATACCACGAGTGGATGGATCATGCACAAACATTCACCAGAAGATCACAGCGGCCGGGACCACGTGTGAATTGTGTACATTAATGTCATTCAGCATAGGACAGTTGTATAAATAGTGCATGACACCGTCCCGCACCCCACACAGCTGACAGCAGTCAGAATTAGAGTGGTGAAACCTTTTCAGGTAAACACGAAAGCGCCCGTGTTCTGTCAAAGATTGGACTAAATCATGTGTCAGTTGAATCCATTTGCTATGAATGCGTTCCTTGACCTTTGGGATAAAACGTCTTGTTATGTGTTGTTGTGGGATCTTGTCTCAATCCAGTTGCCAGGTTTCCAAAGCATTGTCCCAGATAAGGTATTTAAGTCTTGACTTAGGAATGCGATTGTAGGCAGGAGGCATATCAGGATTAGGCGTTACGTTTCGCGCCAGAAAGTCAGCCCGTTCATTACCCTGAATGCCGCTGTGTCCTTTGATCCAATTAATGGCATACTTGTTAAAACACGTAGAAGCTGAATCGAAGATGTCGTTCGCAAGAGGATGAGTATTATCTTTATTCTCCAAAGCAGCAACAGTCGCAGCATTGTCTGTGAAGATGTTTATCAGTTTTTTCACAACGTTAGAGTTGCGCCAGTTGATTGCCATAAATACAGCGAAGATCTCAGCTTGGAAGAGAGAGCGTTCCGGGTGTAGAGCAAAGGAATCACTGTAAACCTATTCACTAGCCTAAAAGATCACAAAGGCACTTGCCGTGCCATCCGTTGACTTCAATCCATCTGTAAAAGCTTCAATCTCTGTATAGGTAACACGAGGAGAGAGTTCCTTCCTTAAGGCAGGATGTGGGAGTATAGATACAGGCCTGTCTAATTCAAACATTGTGGCATTAAAGATGGTTCCGTTAATATCAACATCCCTGCCCCTAGAGATACAGAAACGTTTGCTATTAATTAAATTGGAGAAATTGGAGGATGGGGAGCTTCCCAGCCACCACAGGGAGGGCTGCATTTGAAACAGTGGAATAGCACCTGATAAGTCGTAATAAGGCAATCCTCTGTGCAGACCTCAGACGCCGATGGTTATGAGATTGAGAGGCAGCAGCGCTCCAAACAACAGATGTATATGAGATAGTTGATAAAAACAGGCAATCATATATGGCATTAGCTGCCTCAAAGCTGTCCTTTCTATGTAGTTTCTTGATGGGGCAGGGAAAACCACAAAGGCATCGTCTGCATATGCATAAACACGACATTGGTAACCGAAGTCGGTACGGAAGAAGTTATCGAATAAAATATCCCAGAACAGGGGCCCACAAACAGACCCCTGTGGACAGCCGCATTGTAGCTTACGTGTAAATTGAAGATGCCCCAGAGAGATAATTGCTTCTCTATCCTCAAAGTAATTAGCAGCAAGATGGAATAAGTTAGCCGTACAACTGCACTCATGTAATCTGCGTAAAATTTGCGGCCACCAGGCCGAATTGAATGCATTACTCAGATCTAGGCTGAGGCGGAAGACAAACTTGTAGCTTCGTAGTAGATGTTTGATGTGCCCAACTAACTCTATCAATGCGTCAACAGCTCCATGCTGGCACCGGAAACCATATTGGGCTTCATGGAACAGTCCTCTGGACTCCCAAAACCAATAAATGCGATTAAAAAGGGACCTATCTAAGATTTTCCCCAAGATTGACAGCAAGGAGATATTTCGCATGTTTTGAATGTCGAGAGGTTTGCCCCGATTTTTCGGAATTACCTTGGGCATGTGGAAGAAGGTCGTATGAAGTGGCCAGAGCCGTAACTAGGGTATGGCCAATGTAGCCCCAGCCATAGGCGCCGATTTTATAAAGGTGCCAACGAGAAGCTTTCGAAATAATATGTATTCGAAATTAATAACAAAAAAAAAATTTATATGTTTATTTATATAGTATTTAAATGTCATTAGATAAATTTTTACAATAGCATTTTTTAGAATAAAATTATTATTTTTTTAATAATAAAAATTAAAAATGCGCCATTTTTATTCTTGGCCATTGGCGTCCAAAATCCTAGTTACGGCTCTGGAAGTGATGAATCCCATTTTTTTGCTGAACCACACTGTTGACTAACATAAATAGCATGAAGCCTCATCTCCTGGTTGCACAGTTGGGAGGGTTACACAAACTGGTGGTGGCTTGGTTTAGTTTGATTTTATTGGTGAACGGCATCGCGGCATGTGGGCGATCCGCCAAGGAGTTCTAACAGGTTGAAAAATCTCAGGAAATTTTTGGTAGTCAATGTATTACAGATGTGACAGGATATTATTACCTACAGCTCCATTGTGGACCTAGCAAAACTCACGACGGACTTGATTAAAAGAAAATTATAGTGCCCACGGGCAAAAAGAATACTTTCTGCAACAACATTTTACTGATAATAGTGTGAGTAGTCTTGCTACCTGGCCACTTCATTCTCTGGATGTTTATTCGTGTAATTTCTGGTTATGAGACATTTAAAAAGTATTTATTGAGGACACTATACTGTATACGAGAAGCATCATAAACAAGTAATTACGGTTGACTGTTGAACATTGTTCACATCTTCAGGTTTTACACCTTCAAATGGAACCACATTGAATAGTATTTCCTGCATTGCTAAAGTCTTTGTGTAGCATGAGTGTCTCGTAGAAATAAAATGTTTGTTGTTTATAGTACCAAAAGAGCCATTATGGTGATAATTTTATTTCAAGGAAATGTCTTCCATATGTCTTGAAATGTTATTATATTAGANATTCCTTGCAAATAATCAATAATCAACAAATTTCTTTTAAATCTCAATCGGTAATAGTATTACAAAAACATTCTTAATTAAGATAAATTGAGTTAACTTAATTAATTAATTTTAATTTTTTCAGGAATTAACTGATTTACAAAACTCTGGAATGAAAACTTTTACCAATATCGAACCCGATGATGATAATATTCTTGTTTGGCAAGGATTAATCGTACCTGTAAGCTTTAATTTCCAAAAACAATAAAAAATCAAACGCTATAAATTATTTAATTTAATATTGAATATGAATATTTGGCATTTTAATATTTATTTGAAATATAACTATTACATCGATATATGTATACAATTATTTACTTTTAGGATCAACCTCCTTATAATAAAGGAGCGTTTCGAATTGAAATATCTTTTCCTGCAGAATATCCTTTTAAACCTCCAAAAATTACTTTTTTAACACAAATTTATCATCCAAATATTGATGAAAATGGGCAAGTTTGCCTACCTATTATTAGCCCCGAACATTGGAAACCTGCAACCAGAACTGATCAAGGTGATATTTGAGTTTTTGGTTTTTTGTATATTATTTTAATTTTCTTATTATTTTTTATTATAATATATATCAAAATTAGAAAATTTATATAAAAGTAAATATTTTTCAGTATTAATTATATTTATTATCTAGTGATTTATTCGTTGTTGCAACTGATTGATGAGCCTGAACCAGAACATCCATTAAGGGCTGATCTAGCCGAAGAATATATTCAAAATAAAAACAAATTTCTAAAACATGCTGAAGAATTCACGGAAAAATCTTCGGAGCCGAGGCCAACTGATTAATCTTGGTTCAACATTATAAGCTTAACTATGCTTAGTGCACAATTTCTTCCAATTCTATTTTGTCACTTAGCATAGTATTTCATTATTGTTGCTAAGCAGAGCTTACTTATATTCCTTAATTTTTTATGTTCATAATATTTATTATGTTTATAAATTTTAAACAATGCACAATTCAATGTAAATTCCTATGGAATAAGCATAACATTTCATAAAAATATTTTATATACATTTTCATTATTGTGCAAATGAAACAATATTGAAGTTTATAATGAAGCTACTTCATTAAAATTTTAAGTACTACATTTATGTATATTTTTAAAATAAATAAGCATATCATATGACTTTTCCATTTTATATTCTCTTTATATTTATATTTTTAGTATCTTCGGATTTTAAGAAATATTTTCAAATGAAATTATTTCAATATTTATTTCTTATTATACATACCAAAAAGATTACAGATTTTATGCTTTCAGAATTGAACAAATTAATGCGCATTGTTAATAGGAATTTTTTTAAACTAAAAATTTGAGTAAAATTTTACAATTCTGACTTCTCAAAAGTATTTCTATAACTAATACTTTTTAAAAAAATATTTAAATACCATTTTGAAAAGATTTGTTTGAAAGATTGTAAATACAAAATTATAAAAATCTGTTGCAGTTTTATACCACTACAAAAATGTTCAATAGGATAGAAAGATTAATTATATTAAGGCTATTTTTATTTTAAATAGAATGTAGTTACGTTATAATTAAGGATTAAATTTTAGAAATGACTTACAAAAGTTGTAAAAATTATAATCGTTAGAAAAGCGAATGCAAATTTCAATTGAGATTAAAAGATTTAATTTGTTTAGTAAGATACGAGTATATAAAAATTAAGAGAACATTGTATAATTTTATGAATTCCTTCCATTTCTTCATAATGCTTTACTCAGATTATACAGTAAGACAAAATAACTTCTATTATCTTCTGTAATTGGGCTGTACTGTAATTTGAAAAAATTGTAGACATAAATGCTCAACGTCATCCATCCGTCATCCGTCCATCTGTCTTTCCTTAATCTCGAGAACGGAGTTAGATAGATGAAAGACGAGACTAAACATGGAAAGCTTAGGGGCTGGAAGTCTTGATTAACTGTATATAAACTTCCAATGCAAACTGGAAATCATGTTGTTTCAATTCAAAAATTTCCCCTGAAAGCAGTTAATAGAAGACCATACGACTCTATTGTTAAAGGAAAGTTATGATGATAAGAGCAAGGTAAGATGTACAGGAGCAAGCCCCTGCAGTATTAATTTGAGCATATATTTTAAATAAAATAAAATAAAAATATGATTAAAAATTGCAATAATTCTAAATAAAACGAGCAATTATTTATTGTGACGATGTCACAATAAATAATTGCTCGTTTTATTTAGAACTAGCCTCTTACTCGCGGCTTTGCCCGAGCGGATTTTGCAAGCAAACCCCATTTATATTCAGTATTTCAACAACCATAGTAATTGTTATATAACACCTACCGCTGAGAATGATGAGAATTGCCGAGAATCAAACGAACTATTTTCAATTTGATCAATTTTCTGGAACATTTACAATCGTTCTATAATCGAACCAATATGCAATAACAAATTCGAATTTAAAACGGTTCGAACATTTTTAAAATCGAAATAGATAAAAATATTTATAACAATGTCTGAAATGTTATTAATTTAATACACCTAAGTACTCGATGAAGACTAAATCCTCTCCCTCTCCCCCGC